TGGAGATCGCGTGGAGGCGCCTAATCGGCGTTGCCGATCGAGCGTCGTACACGGTACCTCTCGCGATGAGCCTTGATGCTCGCAGCGGAGCGTGAATGAGGCATGGGATACAACGAAAAGAAATAAATAGAGAGGCTGATATGATATGCGGAAGGCATACCGCAACTCGACAACATACCGATTACAGAGCGCAGGGACCTCGGGAGCGATCACAACTCAGACTCAGATGAAAAAAGCACTCTCTTCTTCAAGAGAATGATACCATACTACTCACACGACCATTCGAGTCGCACTGTGCAATAGTCAGAAAAAGCAGACTTTTAGTGTCTAAGCTGTAGTAATATTGAGACCACCACTCTTTCCAATCTTTGCATCTGACTTGAAACCACCTTGAGTGGGGCGACTATTTGCAGGCGACCCATCTTGTCTGGAGAATGTACTCACATTTTGCCTCATGTGTGGGTCTTGGAAACCTGGTGACGGAGTATCAGAAAAAACCACGTTCCCTCTTAGACAATTTGCTATCAGGTATGTTCCGTGATGATGATGAGAGCTTACGCAGGTCCTGGAGATGAAGCGCCGATTCAGGATATATGAATGATGGTCCATCATTGATGGAAGATAGAGCATATCATCGGACAAAGCACACGCCATTGACACTTCTCCAGCCCGATCTTTCTCATCAAGCTTCTTCCTGAAGAACTTGTCGCATTCTATAGCTACCAACCAACGGTGCGAGACCGCGTTATCAACTACACGACCAAGGTGAGATAATAAATGGCATAGCTCAATCTTCGAAGGAGACGCACGGGCAGCCAACGGTGAGGTCGTTCCCTCCTTATGAGATTGGTCACACAGGTGGATGTCCTGTTGGCCCGTAGGAGCAGCAACCGACTTCATCACTCTATACTCCTGGACGATTAGGACAGCATAAACCCAGCAAAAATAGGCTCTCAAAAATACTGACGCCCAAGTCGACTTTATAGGAGAGTCCTCTTTGACACTGGTCGTCACAGATTCTGTGACACAGATTCGATCGGCTTCTGTGACACAGAAGCCGATCGAATCATAATCGGATCCCCTTCATGCGTAATCGCCATCTGGCGATCCGACCTATTCGATAAATGGGAAGCGTCAAAGTCGACGAATGAATGAAGACCACCTCTCAGTAACTGCTCCAGTAGCTTCTTGGAGGGGACGAATGGGATCGAACCATATTTCAGTCGCACCGCAGCAACCGCAGCCGAGAAGCCTGTGCGGTCCCGGATAGCTGTCACACGGCGTGAGGAGTCCGATGCTTCAGACTTCTTCTCAGCGACTGCAATTTGCAATTGGGCTCTGGCCTCGTTAGCAGCAGCAGTAAGAAGCACACCAGCTATAACCTTCTTGGGGGAGACTTCAGGGATTATGCCAAACTTAGTGATGACCTCCTTGGACAACTGGTTTGAGGAAGCCATGGACTCGAGCAATCTCAAGTTTACCACTCCTACCTCAGCGAGGATAGTACTCAGATTATCGATGACGTCAACGTCAGAGGTAACAGAAGCGATGATGTCCTTCACAGACATAGGATTCACATAATCAGAATTAGGAGGCATTTCATTAACTGATGCAGCCATGCAAGGCTCGTGCCGAACTGTCGGCTGTAGCATGATCATCTTACGACGAGATATGAACTCGTAATGGGCTTCAAACGCAGAGAGCACTGAGCTCTGCGACCTCTGGATCGATTGATTCACTCATGATTCAAAGAGCTTGGGGTGAGACTCCCTGATCACCTAGAGAGGTAGGGTCAGAACGAGCCTTCACAAGCTATCAGAGCACCCACGATAAGAGGCGAGGCGGAACTCACCAAAGGGGAGCTTCCACGCAGCGACTCTGAACACGCGAGGGGAATCGCTCAACTGGAGCTATTCCGCCCAATCGACCGAGGTATTTGAGAGGCGATCAACCGTTCGGAGATCACACTCTCACCAAGTGCCCATTCGATGGGTCAAGCCATGCGAATGAAAGTTTCATTATGAAACTAAAAAAATATCACGCTTAACACATACACTACTCCAGGTTGTCAAGACAGTCTGGCTTGTGTGACAAGCTTGGCAGCTTGAAGGACTCAGATTGTCGCTCTGTGCCGGCAGCGATTGTGTCAATCGCTGTCCTAAACCAGGCTTCGCCGAAAGACAACTCTCTGGCACGGTTTCAACCGCGGAGAAGCTACGATCTTCCTAAGCAGGAAAGCCATAGCAAAATGGGTGCATAAAGTATGTTCGATATGCTTTAGAACAGAACGCCCACCAGACGATTGGAACAACTCGAAGGTTACTCCCATTTACAAAAGCACATCCAAAAAAAATTGCAAGAACTTCCGTACAGTATTGTCCCAAAGCGCCATCGCTGAGGTATTCAGCTTGATCGTTATGGCCAGAATATATGTTCAAGTGGACAGTTCGGTCGACGCATCACACACGGCCTTTAGGGCCAGACGGTCTGGCCTGGAAATAGTACATGCAATACATCTCCTAATAGATAAGTGCAAGCTATATGATCTACCGCTCACACTAACGATCATAGATTTCTGCAAGGCATTTGGTCGAATATCCAGCTCGCATGTATA